GGGGGGGGGGGGGGGGGAGGGTCAGACAAGGAGCGGAGGAAGTGGAGTGCCAGTTCGATCGACGCTGTGTGTCCACCAGACGAGGTGGCAGCGCCGATGGTAACAAGCTGTCCAGGGGCTAGGTCCCACTTGCACGAATTCAGAGATACTGACCGTAGATTGCAAAGATCAACGGCCGAAATCTCCTAATTTGCACAAGTGGGACCTTGCCCCAGAACCTGGACGGGGGGCTAGGTCCCAGTTACACGGATTAAGAGATATTGACCATAGATAGGACAGATCAACGGTCAGAATCTCGTGATCCGTGCAAGTGGGACCTTGCCCCCGTACGGGTTTCAAGATGCATGACACAGGCAGTTGGGCCCTCTCTCCACTCCACAACTCTAGTCATTAATAAATGTGCAAACTGAAATGAGAATGAATCGTCCGCAGGAACATGGAAAGATACGCTGCCCTATTGTTTTCTGGATGTCGAGAGTAGCGGAGCGGAGCGACGCCCTCGTGCTGGGGTGAAAAGGGCGTTTGAAAACTGCCGTAGGGTGTGGTAAAGGGAAGACGAAGAAGGTGAGCAATGGCCAAATTGACTCTGAGACCGCGCACGCGTTCCTCCGAACACGTTCTTCTTTTTTTTCTTTTTTTTCTTTTTTTTCTTTTTTTTTTTCCTAAAGTTCCTCCGAAACGTTCTTCTATCCAGCGGCCTAGCTCAGTTGGTTAGGCATGCAAGTGGCATTCAGGAGGTTGTGGGTTCAAGCCCCATGGCCGGCTGCGGCGCACTTAGCGCCAACGGACTGCGATAGTCCTCTGGATACCCCTGATCGGTATTAGAGGGGTCTATGACCAACACGGGTGTGAGTGTGAGTGCGAGTGGGTTGTGCGTGGTGTGTGGGAGAGTGTTGGCCATAGCCTCTGTGTGTGGTGTGTGGGAGCAGTTAACGAGATGGTATGGCAGCTACCGAACAGATCACATTTCAATATGAAAAGTACAGATCTACTGCTGCAACATGTGGAATCGGTCAAAAGAGATGTTGGAAGCGGTGAAGAACTGCTTATTGCGGCCTATGATGTAAAGGAGATGTTTTGCAACCTCCCGCTGATCGATTTTTGGACTAGGGATGGTGTGGAGAAGGTTTTGATTAGGAAGCAAGGGAAAGATGCGAAGCTCATGAGGGGTAAGAAAGTGGAAGGTTGGGATGTGGTTGAGTTTCGCTCTCTTATCGAATTCGCGCAGTATGACCTGGCCAACACCTTCACCAAGGTAGGTGGTAAGATTTTGCGGCAGAATATTGGAATTCCGATGGGCAAGTCCTCGAGCCCTGCATTTGCATGTATGTTATGTGCCTACTCAGAATTTTGTTTTCTGTTGTCATTAGGGACTGACAGAGCTTTGGTTCATGGGGTACGATTGATTGATGATGTGACTATTTTCATTAAGTTTAGGAAAGGAGACAATGTCGGGGAATGAAAGGCCTGGAAGATCTTGGGCATATTTGAGCAGTCCTATGACAACAATTTGACTCTGGAATGCACGAATCATTCGGGGCCTTGGGAGTTCCTGGGGTGTGTCTTGAAGGACCTCGGGCAACCTTTGGGGGTGAAATGTGCTGCTGTGCACAAGAACCAGTTAGCCGTGAGAAGTGGAAGAACTCGGTTTCAGAATTTGCAGGATGCTGCGTCATATTCGAGTCGGCAGCAAAAGATGGCGGTGATCACTTCCTTCTTGCACCGGGCTAAGAGATTTACCAGCATACAGGATGCAGAAGGGGTTTTTTTACTTTCTTTGAAGATTGAGTTGAGATTGCGAGGGTTTTTGGATGATTACTTTGATACTGCTTTAATGAATTTTTCAGCAAAGTTTGGGGGAGTATGGGAACAATGGGTGAGTTGTTTGACTAGATGGGATAAATTTCCTGAACGTGCTTGGAGACGTCGTGACCTGTTCTAGGGGGACGTTGATGGTTAGGGGGCACAGTTTGGAGGCCCTGCGGGTTTGGTTTTTGAAAACTGACAAATTGGGTTGGTTCAGACCCTGGTTGGGCCTGTAGCTTTGATGTAAGGCTCTGTGGGCCAGTTTGGGCCTTTTCGTAGGTTTAGGATTTGCCCCCCTCCCCCCTATAGGATAAGTCTAGAATTTTCTTGTTAGTCTAGGCTTTCCTATAAGATGACTCTTGGCGGTGCACTGTCGATCTCCGTTGTGATTCAAAAGAACCCTGACGATTCCGGCACTGGCGGCCGAATGAAACATGTAGGGTCGACCGCCAGCAGCTCGGACAGGGTATTGATGACTAAAAGAGCATGTTGCTCACTTTCGGTTTGAGCTCATTGGGCTGTTTTTATTGAAATTTTAATCGATGCCCTATCGTGTTCGGGTTCTGTCCTCCATGAACTTGATGTTGCTTCATTGAATGTAATTGGTTGTTATCACCTATCACCATAGCTTCTGCTGCTACTCCATGAAGGGTGGGGGACGATGAGAAAGGGAGGCACAGCTACTGGCAGGTCTCGGTCTTTGTGTTAGCCAGACCCCCACTGGCGGCCCCAACCCTATACCCTAGCCATTAGGGGCAAGGGGCAACATGAAATCTCCCCTTCACAGAGAGAGGAAACTATGCTTGCAGGGGTCCCCTCTAGATAGTCTTAGGAGTAGGTAGTGGAAGGTAAAAGAAACAGAAGTTGAGAGAAGAATATAGAGAAAAAAAAAAGAGAAA